CTGGACAGCGGTGCATCTCCGTCGCCGCCTGGACAGCGGCGCGGCGAGCAGCTGTGCGCCGGACGGCGGCGCGGCGAGGCAGCTGCGTGCTGGCGCCACCTCTCGACTCGAGGTCTCCGTCCGTCGCCTCTCGTCTCCGTCGCCGTCGTCTCTCGTCTCCGTCGCTGCCTGGACAGCGGCGCGGCGAGGCGGCAGTGCGCTGGACAGCGGCGCGGCTAGGCAGCCGTGTGCTGGCGACGCCTCCCGACTCGAGACGCCCGTCCGTCGGCCGTTAAATCCCATGCCGGCTCTCCGCCACAACCCCCGCCGGGAGGGAATCCCTGCTCACAGAAAAGGGCTTCGAGCCCTGTCTCGCGCACGCCCCTGGCGGGCGCCGCGGACCAGTTCCGCGAGCGCTCGTCAGCGGGTGGTGTGCGGTTCTTGCCGTAGTTCCTCTTCGGTCGCCTAGCCCCGGCGCCGTCTGGCGGACGCCTGCGTGTCACGAGTGCGAGCCGCTCGCGGTTCGTACGCCCGCTTGCGGGTTCGAGTGGCGGGCTATCCCGCTTGCGGGATGGCTTAGCGGGTTCGAGCCGTCACACATTGGCTGCCGGGGTGTGCCGAGGGGGGGGCTGGGTGGGCGGTAAGCCGTCATTGCCCGGCGCTGCTTGCAGCGCTCTGGGTGGTAGTGGCGGCGCTCCAAGAGTGGTGCTCTTGGGAAGAGGTTCCTCCTTTCCGCTCCCCCCCCGCAAGGCGCGAGACACAAATCCTAATGTGCAGACACCGGCGGAGGGCGTGTCCCCGTGCAGCGGTAGTCCCGCTGTTTGAATTGGATTTAGAACAAGAACTGTCTATTACTATTCCGTATTACACAGCTTACACACAACATTTTACCTCTCCCCCCCCTCCCCCCCCATACACAATCACGGTAAAGCCGTAGCGGCGAGGCTGGTGCCTTTAATGTTAGGCGCACACACAGCTCGCCAAGATACGATCTTGAGAAGCACCGCCGCTGCCCCGGTGGTCGCCAGTGGGTGTTTTTGCCACTGAGTTCTGGCGCCGTGGACTTACGCCTGTGAAGGGCTAGAGTCGCGGGTTAGAGAGAGTCCATTCGTTGTCCGTCGCGCCGCCATGTGGAGCTCGTATTGCGCTGCCTTACCGCTTACCTTGTCCAGTAGTCCGGGAATCCTCGCTGCCACGGTGGGTCGCCAGTGGGTGTTTTTGCCACTGAGTTCTGGCGCCGTGGACTTAGGCCTGTGAAGGGCTCTCGTATCGTCTTACCTTTTCCAGTAGCCCGGGGCCGCGCACTCGTTTTCCCTGCGCGTATGCCGGACTTGCACCGATTGCCGTTCGCTATTGTCTTCGGCCCCAGGGTCGTTCGCTATCGTCTTATCACATGTCAGGCAGCAGAGGCACTGCCCCAGTCTCATGGCGGGGTCGGCGGCGCCGGCGGGTTGGGCGAGGCCGGTGGCATGCAGCCGGGCGTGAATCTAGCGATGACCCACCAAGCTTGTAGCCAGCCCTCACGCGGAGCACGCCGCACTAGCAATGGACAAGTAGCGCGAGTAGAAGGTCGATCCAATGGCCGCCGCCGCGTTGCATCGTCCCGAGTAGCCCGTGGTGGCGTGGTTCTCGTTGGGGGTGATGTTCGTCGCACAGCCACACCAGGTGAGCGCGGGGTTGAGGTGGCTCTCAAAGATGGTCGTCACCGGGTAGTAGGCGTTGCCGGGTTGGTTTGGGTTGTTGCACTGGCCATCGACTGAGTTGTGGCAATCACCATGCGTCGTCGCCTTCCCACACCAGTTGTTCGCCTCGCCCTCGGGCAGGCCCGAGACCGTCACCTCACCGTCCATGCAGCATGACTGCACGTAGCCGATCGCCTCTGCAACGCGCAGCTCCGCGCTGCCGCCATGCGTCTGCGTCGTGGTCGTCTGCCAAGGGCCGACGGTAATTTGGCTGTCGGAGGCGGGCAGGTCCAAGTCGAAGACCTCGCTCGACTGAATGAAGGCATCGAGCGTCATGGCCGGGGCCGCCCAGCACGGCGATTGCATGCACTCGGACGTCGAGCCCTCTTTGTAGATGTAGTGCATGGGCGAAGCGAACTTCTTGACGACACCCTCACCAAACGAAATGGCCAGAGCATTGGCGCAATCGGCCTCGTAGGCACCACCGCTTGCAGCTTTCCAGGCCTTGGCAAGGTCGGCCGGAGAGATCATCGTCGACGCTGGGGACGGACCCGGAGAAGGGCCTGGGCTGGGCGACGGTGACGGCGACGGGCCTGGGCCAGAGCTGGACATGCAGATCGCTGTGTACAGCGACGCGACGGCCGCCGGATTGTCGCCAGCCCACTTGCACACGAGACCTTCGCAGCACCCAGTGGTGCCCGGTGGAGGGTACTCGCTGAAATCGCACGACGCGGCATCACCTCCGTTGCACGGCGCGCAGTACTTGTTCTCCGCGATCCCCGGCCAGCAGTTGTTGAGAAGAGCAAACTGCAGGCCAAGACCGGGTTGCGCGTCGCCAGTCGCCGAGTTCTGGACAACTTCCGAGTTGGAGTTGACGGGCACGGCGGCCGCGCACACGATTAGCGTGAGTAGCGTCATCTTCATGATCATCTTGCACCTGAGACAAATCTCGGCCACAGCGTTGGCCAGGGAGAGTGGCACACTAGCTTCGGCCGCAGGGCGCACGCGGGGGGCGGCCGAGGCACGCGGCGGGCCGCATCGTGAAAGTTGAGATGGGCGCTTGCATTGGATATGTGCACAAACAGCTACATTCGCTTTGTGGAGGTGTACGGGGTCTGAAATGAGAGGGATGGGGACGGGGGACAAAGTCGATAAGCCTGCGGGGCGGGGCGGGGGGGCGGCCGGGGGTGCGGGAAGCGGGCTCAAGATGCTAGGCTCGCGCGCGCGCGGGCGGGCACAAGCTGGAGGACAACCTTGTGGTAGACCAACTGGCAGACCAACTGGCAGACGATGCTCGGGGAAACCCCTGATGGCGCTGGGGGCTGGCGAAAGGTGTAAAGGGGAACCACTGAGCGAAAGAAGAAATAAAGGGACCACTGAGCGAAAGAAGAAATGCCCGGTGTTGAGAGAGAGAGAGAGAGAGAGAGAGAGAGAGAGAGAGAGAGAGAGAGAGAGAGAGAGAGAGAGAGAGAGAGAGAGAGAGAGAGAGATGGAGGGTCTCGGAGGGAGGGCCGGCGGCGCGGTGGGGGGTAAGGCCCCGATGGTGGCGGCGACAGGGGCGGCGACAGGGGCACCGGAGGAGAGGGAGAGGGAGAGGGAGAGAGAGAGAGGGAGGGAGGGAGGGAGCGAGAGAGAGAGAGAGAGAGAGAGAGAGAGAGAGAGAGAGAGAGAGAGAGAGAGAGAGAGAGAGAGAGAGAGAGAGAGAGAGAGAGAGAGAGAGAGAGAGAGAGAGAGAGAGAGAGAGAGAGAGAGAGAGAGAGAGAGAGAGTATTTCATGCGGAAGGTCCACGAGAAACACGCGGCGAGGGCGACAGCAAGAGTCGAACGGGCGGCGCCTGATTCAAAAGACACAGCCACATTCCTGAGACGCGCGAGAGCAGCTCGTTAAAGGCAATGGGGTCTAGATTTGGAGCGCTCGCCGAAGAGGAGTACGACAAAATAGCGCCCGATTGCCTGCACGCTGCCCGCACTGACAGACTCCAAAACAAATACCCGAAAGAAGAGAGGGGAGCTCTCGCCGGAGAGGTGACGAGTGAAATGCAGGTAGTGGGGAAGGCAGCATCGATAGCCATTCAGACACAGCTTTTAGGCGCCATTCTTGCCAGAGCATCGCTGCATGCAGAGTGTGTGTCCCTTGCTTGTTTGTATGTTTAGTTAGTTAGAGCGGATGCGTTCGTTCTTTCTTTTTTCGCTAGCGATCTGTTTTTTCTTTCGAGATCGCCGCACGCCGCCCAGTCCTCCCCGCCGCCCAGCCCGCCGCCGCCCAGCCCGCCGCCGCCCAGCCCGCCGCCGCCGTCGCCGCCCCCCCCCCTCGGCGCCGCCGCCGCCCTCGCCGCCGCCGCCCTCGCCGCCGCAGCCCTCGCCGCCGCAGCCCTCGCCGCCGCCTCCGAGCCCGCCGCCTCCCTCGCCGCCTCCACCGTCGCCGCCCCCACCGAGCCCGCCGCCGCCGTCGCCGCCGCCGCCCTCGACGCCGCCGCCCTCGACGCCGCCGCCCTTACCACCGCCACCGCCACCGCCGCTGCCCGGCCCGCTGCCGCCGTCGCCGCCGTCGCCGTCGCCCCGACGGCGCAGCGGCGGCGCAGCCACCCGCTTACGCGTTACGGCATCGTCTTGGGGTTGTGCTCGCGCCGGCCGACCTCGCCGAGCCGCTAGCGCGCGAGGGAGGCATGTGCGTTGCGCCGCTCAGCGGCCGTGGAGGGCGAGCGCGGGGGATGCGCGCGCTTACTAGTAAGTGCTACATTGTGCGTGCTGTATGTCGGTCTGCACACTGTACAGTGCCACGGTGCCAGTGCGCAGTGCCAGTGGGGTGTGAATGTGAACACTGACCCTCACACACTAAGGGTTGGTCAACCATGTGGGTCAGTGTTACGAACCATGAAAGCCATACCGGAGGACAAGCCCACACGGACGCACAGCTACGACGCAGGAACTACACACACACAACAAATAGCCATACCGGAGGACAAGCCCACACGGACGCACAGCTACGACGCAGGAACTACACACACACAACAAATAGCCATACCGGAGGACAAGCCCACACGGACGCACAGCTACGACGCAGGAACTACACACACACAACAAATAGCCATACCGGAGGACAAGCCCACACGGACGCACAGCTACGACGCAGGAACTACACACACACAACAAATAGCCATACCGGAGGACAAGCCCACACGGACGCACAGCTACGACAATACGTGGCCCGACCCGCCCGCGTCCGCGCCGCCTGCGGCCGCCGGGGAGAGCGACTAAAAAGCGACGAGGCGAAGAAGAGTGAGTCGAGAGAGGACGGAGGCGAAAGAGGACGGCTTGCAAGCGCGCTGTTCCAGCACGCTACTTGCTGGGCGGGTGTCCGAAGGTGAGGGAACCCGTCACCTCGAAGCCCGCCTCGGAACCACCAATAGCGGACTCGCACGAACCGAGGTCGCCGTTGATGGGCCAATTGGCCCGTGCGTCCCAGGGGCACTGGCCTGAGCCTGTGTCGGTGAGGTAGTACCCACCAGTGGCTGTCTTCAGCGAAACTGCACCTGTGAGGGGCCCCCCATTGATGTTCACATACTGATCTCCGTACATGTACGTGCACTTGTTGCCGTCCACAGCGCTGCCGGTAGCGATAGGCGTCTGTGGGGCGTCCTTCTTCCAGGAGAGGGAGCACTGCGTCTTCTGCTCGCTCACGATACTCCACACCTGCTGAGTGAAGGTTTTGCCCGGGTGGCCAACGCTGTTGCAGTCGCCCTGCCAAGGGTAAGGGATGAGGTTCGAGGAGATGTTGACAGGCGCAATGTCGCAATTCACGCCAGCTTGATTGAGCTTCCAGACGTTGCCCGTCTGACGCAGCTCGTCCGCCGTCTCACCCCCCGGCGAGATTGAGCCACCAGAGCATTTGGTCTCGGCTTTATACAACGACGAACCGGACGCAATGGGGAGCTTGTCCGGGTTTGCGACCCCGGTCGAGTAGGACACGATGGAGCATTGCCACGAGTCAAACGAGCTCGCGTCGTGGTCCTTCTTGAGGGCAAGGGCAAGCACTCCGGTGCCACCCCCGTACTTCTCAGCGCGGTTCACGAAGCAGGGCACGCAGTGCTGGTTCTCTGCGTCGCCCTTAGTGGGGGCCTTCCATGGCGGAGGCCAGAGGGTGATGGTCCGTGCGCCAAAAAGCGGCCCGGGAGCAAACAGCGGCCCGCGCTCTGTCGGGGTCGGCGTCTGCGCACGCACGGAAGTGATCACGTCGGCTATTGTGCGGCTGTGACGGGGATGTGAGGAGAACGTGCGTGTCGGGGAAGGAAGCGCTCTCACCGGAAGCGCATTCACGCCGCCACCCAGTACGGTGATGAAGCCGAACAGGGAGCCAACAGAAGCCGGCTTCAGGTGGGTCATCATCTCTGCGAGGCCTGCGTGGAAGCGCACTGAGATGAGCGACTGGCAGGCTTGGCTTCAGGCACGTCACAGTGAAAATCAGTGGCTGCGCGGCTGAGCGGTGGCGTGCTACTCGGGAAACAGCGGCACGCCCTGGAAACAGCTACATTCGCTTTGTGGAGGTGTACGGGGTCTGAAATGAGAGGGAT